GGCATCAGGGCACAAGGAGCGAGCTGTTTTTTTCTGTGTTTATAATTTATGCAAATGAGCCATGTGGTTTTAAGTTTCATTTTTGTAAAATGTAAACAAATGTGTCAAAGCTGCATTAAACACATTATAATCTCAAACGGGCTGATGTGGTTCTATAGTAGTTATGGTTTATATGATGTAAAGTTTAGTAATGTAAAGTTTATTTATCCAGATTCTAATTAATAATCTGTTGCAGAGTAGAACTTGTACAACAGTATATGGAAGTGTTCGGTTTGATCTGTGCAGTGGATTGTAGGATACTTCATAGCTCCTTACCGCTGGTTAGGAACATGAATCTATTTAAATAAGAAACCCCCCTCTGTTAACCACACGATAACCATAACCATGAGCTCCTTTAGCAGAGTTAATGCAAAGATGAGCTTGAATTAAGTTGTTTTATTTTTGAATGAAAAGAAAGCAGTATGCATTATTCTTTCATTTATTTTACAGTTAAATTATTATTTTTGTATACAGGGATATTTTTTTTTTTGTAAATGTCGCAGAACCACTTTGTTCCCACATGAACTGCCTCTTTGCACTTTGATTAAAAAAAAAGACCTTGTGGAATTTGGCATATTTGTTTTTGGGGGGGTTATTTTTCCTCTACAGATTTCGAGATATGTAATGTATATCAAGATATAGCAAAATAAATCAAGATATATTTTTATGCGCCATATCGCTCAGTCCTTGTATGTACTGTTAAGATGTTGGATGGATGGAGACTCCAAGTATCAAAAGAAACACAGTAAGGACAAGACAAGAAAAAAAATAGCCCACTTAGCTCAGGAATCAAACTTGGAATCTTCTAGCTGTGAGAGGTGAGAGTGCTTAGCTGCATTTATGTGGTGTAAGAATACAGGTGGTATGTGTATACTGTAGTCATGTAGTCATAGTGGACTCACCGGACTGGGGGTGGCAGTTGCTGGTGTGATTGTTGCACTGACACGGTCTACAGCCTGTACTGCTGAAGTGGAAGAATCCAGGGTGGCAGTCGTCACATTTGGGGCCATATACACTCCGGTTTTACACACACAAGTCCCTGAGCTGTGGAGGCATGAATAAAACATGTGAGTGGAAAGAAATGCAACTAGCTATAATATTGTTTTTATATTAGGTCAGACCATTACGACTGAGGCAAGAGGCAGTTGTTGCAAACAGATTATCAAACACACAAATTCAAAAGCAAAGAAGTGGATGAATGTGGTTTTAGCAAAATTAGATTTAGTTTTTCATTACTGATAATACACTAACTAACGAAAAGCTGTAGGTTTTATCATTCCAAATAGGATACAACCTGAAATATCTGCTTTTTTTGTATTTAAAAAGGTGGCTGTAATTAATTTTTTCATGCAATAAAGTAAAATTTGTTCAGCCCCAGTACAGATATATTGTAAAAGCATCTCTTAAAATCATCTCTCAAAATCTCAACTAAGACATTTACAGTTCCATTTTCATACACTTCTTACACAGAATTCTCAACATAATACCCAAAGCTATGCAGATATTGATTTAAATTAAATCAATTTCACCCAGAAAAGGCCAAAATCACAAACGCAAATCTTCACTCAAGCAATACATGTGAACCCCTGCTTCTACTGACCACTACAGGCAAATTTTACACAAATTTAACACCAGGTTTAAAAGGTTTACCATCCAGTGTATTCTGTTTTTAATCAAATAATAACAGGTATAGTCCCTTTGATAAAACGGGTATTTCAGGGTAATTTGAGGAGGTGATTTTTGCATTTTGAAGGCATGTGGAACAGTGTTTTGGACGTCAGTAGTGACAGCTGATGTACGGACTCCCTGCTGTGTCTCCATCTCTCCATCTGCTCCATATAACTGTACTCATAACAGTTATGTATATCATCAGCATAGAGTCAGATACATTTAACCTCTACTAATGATCTGAATAAGCATCAATTATTAAAATAATTCTAAAGGTAAAGGTTACACATTATTGAGGGGAGGGATGCACAGATACAGCTTTTTCTGTTCCAATACTGATGTCGATACTCTGGCTCTAAGTATCTGCTGATGCCCCGATATCCAGAGGGTGCCTTAAACAATTTACTTTAGTAAAAGTATGAAAGTACCAGTTTAAAAATGAACCGAAAGAGTAAAAAGTAAAAGTATTATGCACAATTTTTTTGATCTAATAAAGCTTCATATATAGTGATTTTGATACAGATTTGTATCAGAACAGAAACAATTGTATTAATATTTTTTTCCAAGGTGTTTTCATTTGTATATTTTACTTAAAGTATGCATGTATTAAAAATAGCCTTTTCAGTAAAATACTTTACTACTTTTACTTCGTTACATTCCCCCACTGTTGAACTGACAACAAGGCATAAACTAATGAGATTACTTATTTCTTTACATACAAACAGCGTATGGTAAGAAATTATGCAAATATGTTTTGTAACTGTTATTCATCATCTTAAGTAACTAGAACAGCTTTGAAAAAATACAAGTTCAATATTATGAGGTATTTTTGGACCAACACTGACCAGTAAATCTTAATATTACACCAATTTATATACCAAAATGTGATAATGACTGAGCCGATATCCTGAAGCCAATATCTGATTCATCAAAAATGTTCAATATCTTCACCGATATCAGATAGCAGCATCGTATCAGTGCATCCCTATATAATACAAAACACACCAATCCTATGCTCTATTAGCCTGATTTATAAGCTGGTTTCACTTTGTAGAAACCGTCTGACCTCGCAGCATTAGGATTCATACACTTGACGGTAGGCAGGTACTTTTTTTATTTAATCAATCACTGCTATTTGCTAATGGGGCTAACTGGTATATTAAGCTTTTCCCAAATCCTGTAAGGAAGAAGAACAATAACGTCTTTCCCTCTGATAAAATTCACAGAACATTCTCTTTGTTCCAGTTTTAAATCCTCGATCTCGGGAATCGTCGTTAACACAGAACGTATGGCTCGTTGCTGATTGGCTGGTGCCCGAACTTGCGCTTCTGGGGTTTTTGCGAACCGTCTAGTGTATTCCAATTCCTGATCTAGTTGCTGGAGAGAAATTAAATTGAGCTTTGGGCCCAGGCTAGGGTCTTTGTTCAAAAACCCTATCTGCTCCTAACAGGTTGATTAAAGGATGTAGATCAAAAGCATGAAAATCATTTATCAGGAAGCTCTCCATGGATCCAGAATGATGAAAAATTAGGACTGTTGCCATAGTGATGAACAATTTTTTTTTTACAAAATATTATATCTTTTGAATGGAGAAAAGTCTTCATAGGGCTGTACATAATAGGAAATTGAAACTTATAGGTTAGGGTTTGTCATCCAACCTTTATCTGCTGTTCAAACTAAAATATTTGGTATAAAATCCATATCAGTGAAAATAAAAAGTCAAAACCTGAATCAGTAAATGCAGTTCGCACAATAGTAAGATGTTGGTGTGGTTGCATAAGGCCTGAATCAAGAGCAGTCAGTGCCCCATTTGAAAATGCCTGGAGACTATCTGCTTCAGTGGCCTGCTGTGTGTTTTACATAAGAAAATCAGAGTGGGAACACAGCTCCTATTATGTTTGATCCCATTGGCAATAATACACAGTTCACTTCATTTCAAAGGTTAAAGATGATGCAGCTTTCACGTCATTTACATAACATTAACACGCTGATTAACGGAATAAATTATTAATTAAAGATACATATTCAGCTCAGATTTGTCACCTTATGCCACTCTCTTCACAAAAAGCACGTGTACTTTTAGTTTGGTTATAAAGCTCCACTTTTCTTTTCATTAGATAACTATTTAAATGCACCAGGTTAAAAACAGGAATGTGCAATTAAGCCATTTCACGTAATTACTAATCATTTCATAATCAACGGTGGTAATAAATGGTTTTGAGCAGAGGTTGTATTTTGGGGGAGAGTGCAATGAATAGACTGTCTATAGTTGGAAGAAAGCAAATCTTTTCTCTTAAACAGCACAAGAAATAAAATTTAAATAATAACATTTGGCTGTCCCTGTTTTAATGGACCAAAAGGAATCCTTAAAAGGTGAATTGTGTGCCTTTTCAGGTGGAGAATCCGTGAAAAGTTTGTGTCCATGGAGATGTTATTGCTTTGTTTGGAATGTTTCACAGTGTGGTATTAAACCTTTCTATATTCATGGAGACCAAACCAGACCAAGTTACCGGCCAGATCTGTGGAGAGGCCCTACAGTGACATCTCCATAGAAACTAGAAAGTGACGGACCTCCAACCAAAAAGTTACATAGTGCACCTTTTTTCATTTACAGTATATTTAAGTGGAAAAATCTGTACATTACTTATAGTTATGTGGAGTCAAACAATAATGACCTATCTATGGTGTTACTACCCGCATTACTACAATAGTGAGAGTGAACGTACAATGAGATTTGATTGTTTCCCATAGAACAATAAAGAGTCATTCTTATGGTGAACAATGCAAAGTCGGTGCTGATCAGTGTTCGTCCCCAGACAATGAACTTAAACCTAAAAAGTGACAAAGACCAACCGTCTGAAGAAAACGCGGAGACAGAGCACTAGGGGAAGGTGGGTGGGGTTCCCCTACTCGGTTCTCAAAAAAAAACGTCACCAAAAAACGACCAAAAATGTTGTGGTGTGTGTGCACAGGCCTTAAAAAGATAATTCGGATGCTTTTGAAGGTAACACCTCCTCCTGTCTGCACGGCCAGTTTGGCAGGAATCAGGCGCCTAGAAACACTAACAATCAATTATTAATATCCGTATTGTGATTTATGGACAAAATTATGAAATAAAAACAGAAAGATCATGTAGAGCGGGCTAATACGAACATTTTAAGGTTGTAGAGAGAGGGGTGACAGTTTCCCAAATCAGGCAATGACAGGGTTAGTTTATGGGTTAAAGTTTTAGGTTTTAGTTTTATATTTATTTTTTTTTTAATCTCTTGGGTTAAGGTTAGCTGTGTTAGTCTTCAGCTGTGTCTCTTGGGTGCGACGCGGTTCAGCTGCCTGCAGATGGCGCTGCGCAGCTCGCGGCTCACCAGGCCGTAGACGAGCGGGTTGACGGCAGGCGGGACAATGATGAAGAGGATGCTGAAGAGTTTTTTGATGTTTGGGGCAAGAGCAGGGAAGCGGTACGATATGACGATGATGACGGATGCCAAGTTGTACAGCACGTAGACCAGCAGGTGGGAGGAGCAGGTTTGCAGGGCCTTGGACCGGGTCTGGACCGGGTCTAGACCACCACGACCCAGGACTGCCAACAGGATCCGAGCATACGAGAACGCCGTGACCAGGAACACGCTTGTGCTGACTGTATATGTCATCACCAGACCTGAGGGGGCGGAGTCACAGGGCAAGAGCATCAGGGTGAGGGTCACTGAGAAAGTGTTGTAGTCCTGGTTTAGTCCTAGTTTAGTCCTGGTTTAGACCTGGTTCAGTCCTGGTTCAGCTCTGATTTAGTCCTAGTTTAGTCCTGGTTCAGCTTTGGTTTAGTCCTGGTTTAGTCCTAGTTACCTGGTCCCCGAAGGTTTGACCTGGTTTTATATTCACCTTGTGTCTCTGTGTCTCTGTATGTGTGTCCACCCGCGATAATTCCGCCATTTATGGACCAATTATTACCAAATTTGGTACGTCATTTGAGGTCACACGGGTCAATTGAAAGGTCATGCCGTTATAAAGGATTGGCAATTTTGGCAATTTCTGAACCATCTGTGGGTTGAAATATTCACCCAATCATCACACAAGTTGGCCCACACATAACCGGGGCACACTGGATGTTACAGGTTGAAACAGGTCAAGGTCACTTAAAAGTCAAGATAACCAAGGTCAAATATGCAGTTTTGGTCATAACTCCACGAAGGATCGAGCTCGAGCAACAGGAGTGTCTCAAAATCTTAGAAAAATTATTATCTATTTATAATTCTATGCATTTGTATCGTAAAATATTAATAGTTTTTGAGATAATCACTAATTTATAACAGTTCCTTTCTCTTTCAGTGTATGACATTAAAATTCTAATTGGGACGAAAATAATTTCCATTTCTTGTTATTCTGGTGAAACACAACACACTGATCTACAGTCACACAACTAACACACACACAACTCATGAACAATGATATTTTGGTTCCACACTAGTAAACACAGACATTCTCATGTGTGACCAATATCACACTAATGTTCATGGGCCTGTACAGATACACACATTACATTGTGGATATAACGATCATGTAATATGGGCTGGGCTCCTCATAAACTGCTTCTGTGGTGATGAACTGACCACCGATGCCTCATGGGGACCAGGTTGTTATCTCTGATTGTGCTTGTTTAGTCCTGGTTTAGACCTGGTTTAGTCCTTGGTTTAGTCCTGGTTTAGTCCTGGTTTAGTCCTGGTTTAGTCCAAATACGGGCCAAATGTTCGGCATCTTCACACAGATATTTTGGTGAGAGTAACTTAAAGTGCTGCAATAGTCGTGTAATGTCTGTAGTGGTATTAGTATCAGCACTATGCCTAGTACTCGCAGTATTAGCAGTAGTATTTGTAGTACTCACCATAGTAGTTGTTGATGGGCGTGGGATCACAGGACAGTTGAAGTATTCCTCGGTTACTGCAGTAAACATGTTGGATCAGAGTCCC